TTAAGAAAGAGTGGCTGATAAGGGAAGAGGAGGAAAAGAGCATGTGGTATCACAGAAAACAAAGGAAAGTGTTTCAAAGTGGGAGTGGTTGACCGTGATGAATAGTGTTGAGAGGGAAAGTGAAATAAAAATCAAGACCAGAGAAGGGGCCACTGGATTTGCACAGAGATTGCAGTTTCAATGGCATAGGGGGAAGGAACCACAGAGCATGCTTATATACTGATGGCAGTGACCTAGTAGAGAGGGAGCAATTGGTGAGTCAAGACAGAGAAGACAGAGGATAAGATCCAGAGAAAAAGTGGAAACATTGAGCAAATAGAATGAGGACACTTCATCCATCTACCAGATACTGAGCTTCTTGAAGGAAGAGACCATGTCTTATTTGTATTTGTACCTCTTTCAGCTTCTAACACAATACCTACTCCATAGGAGGTACTCAGGAGATATTCTTGAATTAATGAACAAATAAAGGGATGGATGAATGGATAGATGGATGACATACAGGGCAGAAACTAGATCAGACTAAACCAAACTTCACAGTAGATAAAAGAGTCTTGAATTAATAGAGTCTCCTCATGGAGTTTGGGATCTTCGGACTTTTCTCTGAGATAGAGTTGACAGATTTCAATCTTAGATGAAGATGGGAGAAGGAATGAGGTACTACCAATGGCAACTGACTTGGCCAACTTTCAAGCACTGATCTATTAAAACAGGATGCAGGGAGGATTCTCGGATCTCCTACCTATTCAACCACTTTCTTTCTTTCCCTATTTCTCTCTTTCTGGATCCAGGCTCTTATGAAAAATAATTGTGCATCTTACTAGACAAAGAAGGGAGAAGGGATTTAAAAAATGACAGTCCCACTTTCATTTATCCATCTGGCCAATAGATGCTCACGGAATAACAGTCTTATTTAGGAGTAAAGGTATAAAACCAAGATTGTGCAAGGATTATCTATTCTAATCTTTTAATTGTTCATGGGCATGTTTTACGAAGTGCTTAGTCTTCTCTTCTCTTGAATGATAACAGCAGCTGATTTCTTGAGCCACAGAAGCAGAGCAGAGATCTATAAGTAGAGAAAAGGTGAGTCATAAGGATACCTGGGGAAAGAGAATTTCAGTCAAAGGAAACAGTTTAGGTGCAAAGGCCCTTTGCAGGAGCATGCTTGCAGTGTTTGAGGACTAGTGAGAAGACTTATGTAGCTAAGATTAACGAGAGGAGAGAGAAAGAGATCACAAGATCAACGAGGTAGCAGGGGGCCATACACAGGTGGGGTCTTGTAGATCGTTTTATGTCATCTGGATTTTGCTCTAAATATGAAGACAGGCACTGGAGTTTTGAGCAGAGGAGTGACAATGGCGTGACTCACATTTTACAATGACCTCCTTGAGATTTAGGCATGATCATAGTGAAATTTAGAGCAAGGGTGGAAGCTGAGTGACCTATAAGAATCCAAGTGATTGGAGTATGGGTACATTTTGAAGATCCAGTCAATAAGATGTGATGATAGATTGGATGCGGGGTGTAAGAGCGAGAGAAAGGAGTTAAGAATGACTATAGGTCTTTACTTGAGCAACTCCAAGAATGGAGTTGCTATTTTTTTTGGGATGGAGTAGAACTGTGGGAAAAGTGAGTTGGGGTAGGGAGTTAGAAATCATGTATTTGCATTTGGGCACGTTAAATTTGGGAGATTATATATCCAAGTGAAGATGTCAAAGAGACCGTTGGGTATGAGTGTGGAGTTCCAGGAGGAAGCACAGGTGTATGGTATGGATGATTCTTAAAGCCATGAGACTAAATGAGATTACCTAGGGAGTAAGTACAGATAAAAAGAAGAGGCACAGCGATGGAGACCTGGGTACTCTATTGTTAGGTGGTCCAGATGAGGCAGAATCCAAACAGAAAAATACAAAGGGGCAACCAATTCAGTAGAAGGAGAGTGGTGTCCAAGTGAACAGTGTTTCAAAGAGGGAGTGGTCAACCTGTCAAATGTCTCTGACAAATTGAATAAGATCAGGATAAAGAACTGACTACGAATTTGGCAGTGGAGATATGGCTGATGATCTTGACAAGAGGTGTTTTTCAGTGGAGTGGCGGGGTGAAAGCCTGATAAGGGTGGGTTCAAAGAATGAAAGAGAAAAACTGGAGAGTGCAAATATACTCTTCCGAAAGATTTAGCTGCTATTAAAAGTAATAGAAAAATGCGGAAGTTAGGCACAGGGAGGAATTCATCAGGATAAGAAGTATTGCAGTATGATGACATTCTAATGAGTGATCCATCCCAAAATGTTCCTGACAAAAGCAATAGAAGGGCCCATCTGTGGCCATTCTCAAGTCAGTTCATTCTGACCAGAACACTGGCTGAAACTATAGAATTGTGGAGGTGTACGAACACCTAGGAGAATGTCCCTATCTTGGAGGAGCCTCCATGGGGTTAAAAAGTCAAGGCACATATGTGTACACCATTGTTTATAGCAGCACTATTAACAATAGCCAAGGGTGGAAACAACTCAAGCGTCATCAACAGATGAATGGAGAAGCAGAATGTCATATATACAATGGAATATTATTCAGCCATTGTCTCTTTCCACAGATGTAGTTGATTTGATTCCTGTGTATTCCATCTGGCCAGGTCCATATGTATAGCCGTTTATGTTGGTGAAAAAAGGTATTTGCAAAGAAGTCGTTGGTCTTACAAAACTCTATCATTTGATCTCCAGCATTGTTTCTACCACTCAGGTCATATTTTCCAACTACTGATCCTTCTTCATTTCCAAATTTCACATTCCAATCACCAGTAATTATCAATGCATCCTGATTGCATGTTCAATCAATTTCAGACTCCAGAAGTTGGTAAAAATCTTCCATTTCTTCATCTTTGGCCTTAGTGGTTGATGCATAAATTTGAATAATATTCGTATTAACTGATCTTCCTTGTAGGATTAGGGATATTATCCTATCACTGACAGCACTGCACTTCAGGATAGATCTTGAAATGTTCTTTTTGATGATGAATGAGACACCATTCCTTTTCAATTTGTCATTCCCAGCATAGTAGACCATAGGATTGTCCAACTGAAAATGGCCAACATCAGTCCATTTCAGCTCACTAATGCCTAGGATATCGATGTTTATGTGTTCCATTTCATTTTTGACGATTTCCAATTTTCCTAGATTCATACTTTGTGCATTCCATGTTTGATTATTAATGGGGATTTGCAGCTGTTTCTTCTCATTTTGAGTTGTGCCACATCAGCAAATGAAGGTCCCAAAAACTTGATTCCATCCACATCATTAAGGTTGACTCTACTTTGAGGGGGCAGCTCTTCCCAAGTCGTATTCTGATTGCCTTCCACCCTGGGGGGTGGGAGGAGCTCATTTTCTGGCGCTATATCAGACTAGGTTCCACTGCTATTCTTAAGGTTTTCAGTGGCTAATTCTTTTCAGAAGTAGACTGCCGGGTCCTTCTTCCTAATGAAGCTCAGCTGAAACCTGTCTGCCATGGGTGACCATGCTGGTGTTTGAATACTGGTGGCATAGCTTCCAGCATCACAACATGCAAGCCCCCACAGTACGACAAACTGACAAAACTGAATAAAAATTCAAGCCTCGAGTTGCAATAGTGAAGGATTCTATGGGGAAAATATTAAATGACTCAGGAAGCATCAAAAGAACATGGAAGGAATACACGGAGTCACTATATACCAAAAAGAATTGGTCGATATTCAACCATTTCAGGAAGTAGCATATGATCAGGAACTGATGGTACTGAAAGAAGAAGTCCAAGCTGCTCTGAAGGCACTGGCGAAAAATAAGGCCCCAGGAATTAACGGAATAGCAATTGAGATGCTTCAGCAAATGGATGCAGCACTGGAAGTGCTCACTCGTCTATGCCAAGAAATCTGGAAGAGATCCATATTTATGTCTATTCCCAAGAAAGGTGATCCAACAGAATGCAGAAATTATTGAACAATGTCATTAATATCACATGCAAGTAAAACTTTGCTGAAGATCATTCAAAAGTGGCTGCAACAGCATATCGACAGAGAACTGCCAGAAATTCAAGCTGAATTCAGAAGAGGGTGTGGAATGAGGGATATCACTGCTGATGTCAGATGGATCTTGGCTGAAATTAGAGAATACCAGAAAGATGTTTACCTGTGTTTTATTGACTATGCAAAGGCATTCGACTGTGTGGATTATTAACAAATTATGGATAACATTGTGAAGAATGGGAATTCCAGAACCTGTACATAGATAACGAGGCAGTCGTTCGAACAGAACAAGGGGATACTGCATGGTAAAGTAGAGGGTCAGCGAAAAAGAGGGAGACCCTCAACAAGACAGATTGACACAGTGGCTGCAACAATGGGCTCAAGCATGACAAAGATTGTGAGGATGGCGCAGGACCCGGCAGTGCTTCGTTCTGGTGTACACAGGGTTGCTATGAGTCAGAACCGACTTGACAGCACCTAACAATTACTCAGCCATAAGGAGCAATGCAGTCCTGATGCATATATGATATGTATGAACCTAGATAACATAGTGCTGAGTGAAGTGAAGTCAGACACAAAAGGACAAATATTGAATGATCCCACTTATATGAAGTACCTAGAACAGGCAAAGGCATAGAGACCAACGGTTATTAGTGGTCACCAGGCGCAGGTGGGAGGGGGAAATGGGGAATTATTGCTTAAGGGACACTGAGTTTTAGTTAAGGGTGATGAAAAAACTTGTAAATAAGATAGTGGTGATGGTTGCATAACATGGTGAACGATCATGTCACCAAATTGTATGCATAAAAATGGCTGAGTTGGTAAATGTTTTATACGTACATTTCACCACAATAAGCATTAAAAAAAAAAAAAAAGTCAAGGCACAAACAAGTGAAATGTCAAATAGCAAAAAAAAAAAAAAAAAACCAAAAAACAAAACAAAAAAACCCCTCAAAACTCTGAAGTTAAAATAAACCAGTGATTAAGACAATACTGCTTAGGGATATGGAGACGTCCTGTCGGCTGGGAGGAGATGGATCTGAAATGGGCCGCCCATATAAGACTTGGTGGGACTCGTGTAGGGACGTGAACGGGTATTGCGAAAGGTGCGGCTTGGGGACTGGAGCAAGCAGAGGTTGGGAGTAGACCAATCTTGGAAGCGCAGGGTCCAAGTCAGACTCTAGAGCCATTCCAAGCCACCAGTGAAGGTGGAGGCGGGGCTGGAGGCCAATTTTGGAATCCGCCCAATCGGGATCCGCCTTCCTACGTTACACGCCGAACTACTTGCCCAGGGGCTTCCGTGGTTGCCTAGCAACCTGTCGCCCCCCCCCCGCCCCAACGCTTCTGACGGCCCAACTCGGGCTGAAGCCGAATGTTGCCACCTGGAGGGGCAGATAAAGGACCTACGTTCGCCAGGTCCGTGCTGCACCCTAACCGGTTACACGTGGACTCACAGGAGCCGTCCGCACGCCAAGCCGCGAGTCGGGGGGCGAGGCCCCCGTCACCAATGGGCGGGCTGGAGGGAGCGCGCGTGCGCAGGACTGGACCGGGGCGGGGGGGCGGAGCAGAGAGCAAAAGCGTTCTGGGACGGGGGCTGGCGAGGCTCATCCTGGAAGGCTTCGCGTCGAGCGGCGCAGCCGTTTGGCGGCGGGGTACTGCGGGGTGAGTGGACCCTGGAGTCCTGAGGCCCGACCCTGGGGGACGAGGCTCATGGGTTGGAACTCAGTTGCCCGCAGCGGGGCGGGATCCGGGCTCAAGTCTGGGCTCGGGCTCAGTGTGGGAGGCAGGAGCGGTCTGGGTGGGAGTCTCGGTCCCCGTCCGCCTCGGGGCGTTTAGCCGGTTAGGCGCAGGGCCTCTCTCCCCGGACGGGAGGTGCCCCCGCCAGACGCTTTGGAGCCAGATGGGCCGGGCCGGGGCCGATCTCCGTCCTCTTCGCTGGCCCTTGGGGGTCTCAGCACCTGCCTGTGAGGCCAGCAAGGCTGGGTGGACCCTGCGCCCGGCCCGACCTGGCCGGACGCGGGCCCGGGGCGTTTCTCTCCGACTGCTTCTAGTATCCCCCGCCCCCTCCGGGGGGACACCAAGGCCTTTCGGGCCCAGCGAGGTTGGACCAGGGCGGGGGAATTTGACTTCCTTCTCTATTCCCAATCTGGGCATGGCAGCGCCATCCACCCCGTTGCCCAAGTCAGCAACCTGGGCGTCATTCTCCTCTTCCCGCACTCTCGGGGACACCTTCTTGCTCCACTTTCAGATCCTCTGCCCCAGCTGGTTGAGGTCACCATCATCTCTCCCCTCTACCTCAGTAACCTCCGAACTGGTTCTCTGCATTCCTTCATGATATTCTGTAGTTTCTTATGTCTAGGGAAGCCAGAGTGATGGTCTTAAAGCAATAATATGATAATGTCACCAGACCTCTCCCCCCATTCCCTTACCGCCCTTCAGTGGATTCCCATTGATTGAACACAGCTTGCAAGGCTCTTCATGACCTGTCCTCTTTTTACTTTAGACTAAGTCTCCATTATACTGTGTCTTCAAGATATTGAACCTTTTTTAGTTCCTGGATTGGACCACGTTCCTTCTGGCCTTAGGTACACGTTGCATTATGTTCCCTCTGCCTGAGGCACTAGCTTTTGGTTGAATAAATTCTTCAAGTCTTCTTCCAGGTGTGGGTTGGTCTCCTGCTGTATCCCATGGGTGTCTTTGCTGGTCTCTCTCGTCACCTGCCTGTAATCGGTGTGAGAGGGGTCTGTCTGGGTCAGTGGTGTCCTCAGCACCTTGCACAGTGCCAGGCCCTGTTAGTTAAATGTACAGACGAAACATGGCAGCTCCTTGGGCTTCCCAAGGGAACAAATAGATTAGGTTATTAAATGTCTGCTTTTTCAGAACCATTTCTTGAGCTCCAACCCGTGTAGAGGTTTCTTTGGCCTAGGAACTTGGTTGGTTTCTTGCCTTCAGTCCAGGACCATGGCAGCAGTACATGGGGAAGTTATCGTCATAGGTTTTCTTTGGCTCTGGGTACAGGATGTCTGGATGTTGGTGACTGTACCAAACCAAAAAACCAAACTCCTTGCTGTCGTGTCTATTCCAGCTTATAGCGACCCTGTAGCGCAGAGCAGAACTGCCCCATAGGGTTTCCAAGGAGCGGCTGGTGGGTTCAAACTGCCAACCTTTCGGTTAGCCCATTTCTTAACCACTGAGAGACCAGGGCTCCATTGGTGAGTATAGGTGCTTTAAGTTTGAGCTCTTAACTGAGGGCCCCCAGCATGGGAGAAAAACTGCTAACAGCTGCTGTGGTTGTTAGGGAGGAAGGCTGATTCCAAACTCTTCTGCGTTGATAGGAATAAAGACACAATGAGAGGGAAGGGTGGGCCAGGCCAAACCACTGGCCAGAGGGCTCCAAAGGGAAGTTATTGTTCCAGCTTAGGCTGGACGCTCTGTGATAGGGAACAGCTTGCCGCCCTGATTCAGATGGGAAGGCGTACTATCCTCAGGTCAGCCAGCAGCTGTTAGTTAGAGAGGAGAGGGGGGAAGGAAACACAACGAAGAAGGGGAACAATATGTGACTATATGGTAAGGCCAGGTGAGTGTGAGAGGTTGCAGAATGAAGCTAAAGGAGGGTGAACTGGAGTTGGCTGGAAGAATCTGGAGGTGACATTTGAACCTGGCCTGGGAGAAGCGGGAGGATGGGCAGGTGGAAGCAGTGGGAGCCAAGGCTCAGGGACAGGAGGAGGCCAACAGCAGGGAGGGGAGGCCAGTGAGACTGGAGTGTGGTGGGGCGCAGTGGGATGCACCAGGCTGGCTAGGGTCACTGGGCCGGACTAGGGAGGGCTTTGACCGCTCAGCCGAGGAGTTGGCTTCCATTGGTGTCTCTCCATTCTTACAAGACTGATTATACCTATAAAGCCCTTTTACAGTTGGCACAGGGGGAGGCCCATTACTGATGATGGTCCAGTGCTCCCCTTACAGGGCTGTGAGGATGTCTCAAGGCTTGGGTTGTGTTCTGAAGTCTCTGCACGAGTCTTTCCACTCTGGGGATTTTTTCCCAGCCAGGCGTTTACAGTTTGCTGAAGAGGGCCAGTGACCTCAGAAACGGCTGGGCTTATCTGCCAGGCTGTTTGCTTGTAGCCTGGAGCTACGTTGGGGGATGTGGCTGATGCAACCTGTTCTTTAGGCAGAAGAAAGTGGATATGAACAGTTTAGTTTGTTAGGTGGCAGTCAGATTCCCTGTCCTCACTGCAGTGCTTGGAGGGATTTTCTTCTGTGTTCCAGTGGTTAGAAATCTGCAATAGCAAGCCAAAGTAGGATGAGTTCGAAATCAATGGTTCTTGGCCTTTGTCCTGCCTCCCTTGAAGAAGGGATAATTTATATCTACAGTTACTGTATTATTAATCACTTGGTTGCTTTTTGGTGCTACCTGCATAGGATCCCGTTACCACACACATACACACACACACACACACACACACACACACTCTCACACACACACACACACACTCACACACACACACACACACACACACACCCAAATTGATGTTATATACTAAACATCCAACCACTGTGTTGTAGGAAGTGGTACCATGGGGTCAGTGGCCACTCAGCTCAACTGTCTATCTGATACCCAGAACCATAACCAAACCTGTTAGCGCTGAGTCAACTCCGACTCATAGCAACCCTGTAGGACAGAGTAGAACTGCCCCACAGGGTTTCCAAGGAGCGGTTGGTGGATTTGAAGTGCTGACCTTTTGCAGCTGAACTCTTAATTAACCACTGCGTCACCAGGATTCCATCTATCTGATAGACATCTCCAAAGAAAAATTTTTGCCCTCAGTTATAGTAACCTCAAAACTTAGTAGCATGTCTGTGAAGGGTTTAGGTTCTCTCCTGCAAGGGCCACTGAGAACCCCCAGCCTCTGTGCCAGGCACTATGCCAGATGCTGGGAATGGGGACTCAGTCCCTGCCCTCACAGCACTCAGTCCAGGAAGGGGCACTGACAGGTAATGGGGCAGTTTTCAAGACAGTGTTCACAGCTGTTGGAAGCAATGGACAGGAACCTTCTGAAGGGAAGCATTTGGGAGCATATGGGAAGAACTCTGAGGCCAGACGCAGAGTTGAGGAAGGCTTGCTGGAGAAAGGCTTGGGAGGCTCTGGATTCCCCTTGCTGATTTCCTCCTGTCAGATCTTCAGATGTGTGGTGAGAACAAGGCGTTCTGATCCGGCCTGGGCAGTCACTGCTGACGGTAACGTGAAACCCTGTTTTCTGGTACCACGTACAGTGACAGTGGTCTTGCAGACTCTGGACACTTCCTTTGATAGAAATGAGAGTGTAGTTCTTGCTGTTCCTGAATTATTTTTTGGAGATGAGACTTAACCGGAAACCCCCCTTTCTCTTATCCCTTCCGTATAGTATCGGGACAAAACGATGAATACCTAGAATTTATTAACTTGCCCTACTTTGTAAAGAAAAGATAATTTTATGTTAGAAATTTTAGAAACGATAGAAAAATATAAAGAAGAAAATCAAAATCATGCACCATGCCATGATTCAGAAGATAATATTTGTTAACAGTTTTTAGTCATTTGTCTCTGTGTGAAATATACTTATGTAGGGTTTTTTTTTTTTTTAATGTTCATTATTCTTTACAGACTTTCACGTCCTGCTCTTTTTTGTTTTTTATTGAACATCTTTTCCTATCATTAAATTTGACAGATTGCATTATATTGTCAGTGTCAAGTAGTAGGATTAGATGCTACTTTTTGGAAGATGTACATCCAAGTGGGCATTGTGCCCTCAGAGAGGGGGCAGGGAGCCATGGGAGGTGATGCTGCTAACGGGCAAAATGGGCTTGGGAAATTTTTCTAAACTTTGTAGGGGCAGCATACTCCAGGATCCTACTATACAGAGCCTTTTAGGATCAACGAGAAGGGATTGCAACACTTCGACTTCCCAGCCCCAGGTACAGAGAGTAGACATACGGCAGCTTCTGAGCTGAGCTCTGTGTGTGCTCGCACATGTGAGGGTATGACCTGTACCTTCTGCTTTGTCTTTACCATTGTAGATTTTGGGGCCGTGGGCTCCGGCTGGCCCCTTAGAAATCACTGGCCCTTGTTTTTCAGCAGAATCTCTTCTGCCTTTAGGGACGTGAATGTGTACGTAGGTCTGGTCTTTTCTTTGTGTTTGTATGCAGGTCTCCTGGCTATCCTTCAGCTTCCTTTTGGAGGCCAGTCTATGAGAACCAGGAAGGCTCATGACTTTAACAACTAGTTTTTAAAGGCCGACCAGAGCCCTGGTGTGGAGTGCTGATGTGAACCAAGCACTCCTTGCCCTCAGGGTACTTGCTGGGTAGCTGACTGTGTCTTCTTGCTGTTGACCACAATCCAAAGTATAGCTAGACCCCTGAAGTACTTGATGGAACCCTAATTTCTGTGTAACTCTTTCCATAGCTCTATGCCAGAGGCGAAGGGACTTGATGCTGTCACAGCCCTGGGAAATGGACACGGCAGGTGTTAGCGTCCTCTTCTCCGTGTCCACTGCCTCAGACCTTGATCTGACTGCCTTATCGCTTCCCTCGACAACTGTGTTCTTTTCTCTGGTCTCGCCCCACTTCCAGCCTTCTCCACTGTGCTGCCAGATGAGTCATTCCGAAACCAAGCTCTGATCTCATTTTCCATTCATGAGTCCTCACTTGCTCCCTGTTTACCTTCAGGGTAAATGTTCACCTGGGCTTAGCATGCAAAGCCACGTCCAGTGTAGCCTGGTCAACCTTTACAGCATATTGTCCATTATTCTGTCCGCTTCATACCCTCTAGGTTCCAGCCTGACTAAACGACTTGGTGTTTCTTTCCAACTTGTCCGCACCCTGCCTCTCTGCTCACATCACCTCCTTGGTCTAAATTGGCCCCCTTCAGTTCCTGCCAGTCCACAGCGTGCTCACGGGTCCAGGCTCAGCTGAAGCATCACCACGTCTGTCAGCCTTCTCTGATGTTCCCTCATCCAGAGGACAGTTCTTCCTCTGAACTCGCAGAGGGTTTACTCTTTCTTGAGTAATCTCCCTTTCTGCCCTCATTCGTTCTCTAGGTAGAAAGTATTGCTCTCACCAGACTGTAAGCTTCTTGTAAGCAGGAATAATCTTGGGGTCCCTTTAAGCGCCTGTTGAGTTGCTTGGCACACAACGGTGCTTTGGGAAATGTCATCACCCCCGTTTAAGTGGTGGGGACCCGTGGTGCCCTAGGTCATCCACAGACTAGTGGCAGAGCTGGCCTTAGGCCCAGTTTGGAGTGCCCTTTTCCACAGTCTCACTGCTTCATCCGTTTCCCAGGAGTGTGTTGTGACAAGTCTTGAAAGAAAACTTGGCTCTGGTGTTCTCACCTACGTCTTCTGTGTTCCCCACCCCAGGTACCGGTGACCATGAGATCCCTGCCACTGCTCAGAACCCTGTCCCTGTGCAGCCTGCTCTGGGCCTTCTGTGCCCTGCACGTCGGGGCTGAGGAGCCTGGGGCCAGCTTCTCCAATGCTGGCAGCGCAGGCCTGGATAAGAACACGGTGCACAACCAAGAGTACGTATTCCGCCAGGGCTGGTGGTCTGGGGCCCTCCCTGTCATCTGCAGCCGCAGCCAGCTGCTGTGGCACATGCTTCTCTTTTCCTTTCCTGTTTATATGGCTTCTTGACATTTTTCAAGGATGATTTGATTCCTTATAGCCTCCTGGAAGTCAGGTATTCTTTTTTCATCATCATATTACAGATGGAGGACCTCGAGGTACACACACACACACACACACAGTCACGCACACACACACACACACACACACAGTCACGCACACACACACACACAGTCACGCACACACACACACACACACGCACACACACACACAGTAACAGTGGCAGAATGCAGACTAGAGCTAAGGTTTCTTGACTGTGACAAGACCTTTTTTTTACTGTCACATTCAAATGTTGCATTATTTGTTGCAGCTTTTGCCCTGGCTCAGTTAGCCCCACACATTATACTTTTTTAAATCCTTGAATTGTTTAAAAAACGTTTGTCAAGTTGACAGCCCCAAAATGTTATAACAACATTCTAATAATAAAGAGGGAAAAACACCCCTAATCTTACTAGCGGAACAAGCGAACCATTGGACATTTTGCTGTTCCGTTCAGGACCTTGTCTGTACGTCATCCTTGAGTGTGGGCTGCCACTCTTTCTGTCTGTTGTTCTCAGCTGGGTGAACTTCACGTTCTCGAGCTGTTCCGAGTCCTGCGGGTTTCAGCATGGTCCTGGTGTCTCTGCCTGGTGCGTACAGTGGTCTGAGTCTGACTTGGTTTTTAGGCATATCATGGAGCATCTAGAAGGTGTCATCAACAAGCCAGAGGCGGAGATGTCCCCACAAGAACTGCAGCTCCATTATTTCAAAATGCATGATTATGATGGCAATAATCTGCTGGACGGCTTAGAACTCTCCACAGCCATCACTCATGTCCACAAGGAGGTAGGTCAGGCAGCAGCGTGGCGGGCAGTGTCTCGGAAAGGCCTCCCTTTGCTAATTTGGCCCTCGATCTCGATGACCTGTGCTGTGCTTGTCCAGCAATGTTGCTGCTTCCCCTTTCTCTGTTCACTGCCCTGTTTGGCCTCTTCCTGTTCAGGGCTCCTTCCTTCAAAGGCTGACCCACGGAGGCAGAAAGCCCAGGGCTGGGCCTTTGTATCTTTAACAAGTACTACAGGCCTTTCTGCTGCATGCTGGAGTTTGAGAACCAGTGCCCAGAAGGCAAGCCACGTTCAGAACATGGGGCAGGAGAGACGTTATTTCATTTGAGAAGAATGGCGTATCAGAAGGCACAGGGATTGGGGACTGGGCAACAGTTGAGGGCTTCTCTGTTATTTGTACAGTGCTCTGTAGTTTACAAAGTGATTTCAAGTATGTTATCTTGCTTGATCTTTGCAACAGGGACAGGGGGTGGTATTACTCCCATTTTCTAGCTGAGAAAATTGAAATTGAGATCTTTTGTCTCCAGATCTAATGTCCTTCCCTCTCGGCCACACTGCCTCTGCAGAGAGGAGAGGCAGAGACAGTGAGGGGTGTGAGCAGACAGGCTGCTGGGAGGGCAGGTTGGGGTTCGCTCAGAGGCACTAGGGAGCCATTAGCGGTTCTGAGCAGGAGCCTGACTAGAGCAGTGTCTTGGGAAGATCCTTTGCAGTAGGAGGCAGACTGGTGGATGTGAGGCGTCAGGGAGGAGAGTCGGGATTTGGCAGTCCCGGCAGGTGAGAGCGGTGGCGGCAGCAGGAGAGCAGAGGGTGGGTGTGGGAGATGAGGCAAAGGAGGTGTCGGCCACGAGCATGAGGGGAGCCCCGTAGCTTGGCCCCAGCACAGTGAGCCCTGCTACGCCTGCTTCTGGAGCAGGGGAGATACCTCCCCTCCGAGGCTGTACCAGGCTCTGCTGGTCAGCCGTGCCTTAGTCTCGCCTGGATCCCAAGATGCTGCCCAGTGTCTCACCATTTCCACTCTGTCAGGGCAGACTGTGCACAGAGCTGACCCTTGGAAGGGCTTGGGCTTCTGAGCTTTCTCTAGGATGGGTTTGTGGGTCATGAAACCTGTGAAACTCGTAATTCTATGTAAGCCAGACCCAGGGTTCTACAGTGAACTTGTACTACTTCCGTACTTAGAAAAGAATCTAAATTTCTCTTAAAAAGATAAACAAGGACCTTCTTTGCATCTTTCTTTTAATTTGCAAGTATCATTTCTCAACTGAATTACTGTGAGTTGACTCTATTGATAGATGGGATGGTGGATTTTTAAAAGTAGCTATGTGCTATATTTAAGGAGTTTCGGGATATATTGAGCCTGGGCATTTTGGGAATTAGCTAGGCACTTCTTCCAACGAAATGTGCAGCTCATTGTTGTCTATTTTATATTTTGTAGGAAGGGAGTGAACACATACCACCAATGAACGAAGATGAACTGATTAGCTTAATAGATGGTGTTTTGAGAGACGATGACAAGAACAATGATGGATACATTGACTATGCTGAATTTGCAAAATCCCTGCTGTAGATGTCATTTGGCTTTCTCCTAGTTATATGCAAATGTGACCCGTTATAATGTGATGGAACAGTTTCTGTAATGCAAAATAACTCATTTCCAACTATTGCTGCAGTATTTTGGTAAAAACCTGTAGGAACTGGTTACATTAGGGTGAGAAAGAGAAATAAAAGGGAAGAGAAATGGGACATATCATAGTCCCTAAGTACTGCTAAACCTCTTATTGGATAAGGGCCTGATTAAAGAATTTTGGAAAGAACATTGGATGCTTGGAGCTGAGTACTCAGGAACTTGAATTCGACTGTAGAATACTGCTAGTCTCTTAGTTTTAATTCGTGCTCCCTGAAAAGTAAGATGGAAGCTTTGCCAAGTGGACACATTGCAATTAATAGTGAGGGAGTGGAGTGGATGCCAGATGTTTCTCCTGGTGGGTCCTGTCTCTTCAGGTAAACATGGTCAGTATTCTGTACAGGTCCTCTGGCCTAAGTAATTACTTGCTCTGGGCAAGTAGCTATTTATAAGGCTATTTCAAAGCCCCAGCATAAGAAGAATGTCAAGTGTTGAGTTCCGCTGGTCACAGAGGCCAGGATGCTATGTTCGCTGGCATTTTGGAAATGATACACCACTGACCTAAGCGATTAACCTTTTTCAGTTTTTCAGTACTTTATAAAACTACTGCCACATCCTTATACCTTGTTCTGTGTTCAGTGTGAGAGAGACCTTTAATTTAAAAGTGTTCTCTGCTCTAATCAATAGCAGATGTTTTAGCTTTCTTAATATTTGTATTTAACTCTGGTTTCTAGGGTCTTGTTTTTGCAATTTAGAAACTATTAGGAATGTAAAGATTTACCCGTTCTCCTTGATACAGTGGGGGTGAAACTACTAGCTGGCCTATAGCCTCAGTGAGAAGTAAAAAAATCACCTACCAAGCACAGTGAGTAGCCTAATACAAGGTTAGACTTTAGAAGGAATGTTGTTTAAATGACCACTTTTAGCCTGAATACGTGAGTTCTTTCAGATCAAGAAAGGTTAGGAAAAGATGCCTAAAAACTGTAATAGTTCTCCTCCATGGAGTTCAGTTAGTTGGCTTCTGATAACTGTAGCTTCATGATCATTATTTTCCCTCAGTAGAAATAACTAAATTTTAAGCCAAAGGAACAAGAATAATCTTTGTTTATATATATATATATATATATGTTTATATATATGTATATATGTTATACCCATTACCTGGGGTCTCAAAAATGAAACCAACAGAACAGTTTGGAGACATCTTCACAGTGTTAGAAGTTACCTTTTAGTTCCACTTCTCTCCCAGGGTTCACATCTAATGTGAATCTCAACAGTGGTTGAAAATGAGAAGCAGCAGACTATAATTTAGCTCATTGGATGCAATGCACATGTTGTAGTGGAAACTTGAAATGGTGATTATGTGGGGGAAAAACCACATAAAATTTGTTGTAAGATATACAGAGACTTATTTTCTTTATTAAAGTATTCTTATAAGAAAATGTGTATTTGTAAAAATGGTTTCCTGTGTCTAGTATTTGTGCAATCAGAGCTGAATTGTAAACTATTCTTGTAATATCTAGTCATTTTGAAAGATTTATATAATGTACTCTGGATATATGACCAATAAAACTGGTGAAGCAAAGTAAAGAGCAGTCGGTTTTGTCCACGGAAGTGTCTTTTCTCAGCCCACCTTCCATGTGAAGGGTTTGTTTATTTAATATAGATGTTTCTATGCACTTGACCCTGGCTGTGCTCTGCCTTTTTCCAGAGGAAGATTCCCAGTATTCAAAGTCACTTGCCCCGTTTAGGCATTTTTCTGAATGAAATCACTTTTCAGACCTTTGTTCTCTGGCCAAATTCAGATTAGGACAGCATTCGCTAGATTAGGAGAATACAGTGTTTTCCTCTGCAGTCTGATGATGTTTTTTCTTTGCCAGAAAATTTAATTAGATAACATTGTCGAAAGCATCCAGGCCCGAGCAAAAAGCATAGTGTCCTTGGCATTTTGGAAATGACACAGTCTGTTCTGCCCATCGAAGAGCAGAGAGAAGGGAGTTACCCTTGTCATTTTTTTTTTTTTTTTAATGAAGGCATCTGCCAAGAGTTGGCAAGCTTGCGTAGCAAGTGGAGCAAGCTGAGGTATCCCAAAGCTCGTTAACCACACAAGCCTTTGAGTAGTCATCGGGCAACATGTGCGAGGTAACGTGGGAATAATTTTAACAGAATCATAGAATTTTTAGACCTGGAAGGGACTTCAGAGAGCCTGTGGCACTGCCTTTATTTTATGATGAAGGAAAACAGGGCTAGAGAAGGTCAGTGATTTGCCCCCAGTCTCACAGCTAGTCAGAAACTGAGTTCTGGACCTTTTAGCGGCAATTACATGTGACGTAAGCTCTTTCCCCAGAGTTTGGATCTTATTTTTTTCTTGAAAAAAAAAATTTTTTTAAAATATAAAGACAATCTAAACCACAAAAGTATATAAATAAAACATGCCTTTGCCTGCACTCTTCTTTGTCACCTTCTAGTTCTACTTCTCTCCCAGGAGCTAACCACTGTGGCTAATCTGGGGTGTGTCTTTTCACACTCTTTTTGTATGTCGTCATATGGTTTGTGTGGCTATGTATATATATTTTAAATAAAATAATACTATGTATTATTTAATTATGGCAATTAGATATATAACATATAGTAATTATTATAATATTATGTCTTAATGGGAGCTCTGGTGGCCCGGTGGTTAAGAAGTTGGCTGCTAACCAAAAGGTCGGCAGTTTGAATCCACCAGCCGCTCCTTGGAAACCCTATACGACAGTTGTCCTCTGTCCTATAGGGTCGCTATGCTATGAGTCGGCACCAACTCGACGGCAATGGGGTTTTTTAAATTTTATGTCTTAATGACTTTTGGAAACTTCTTCATATTTCTCTTAGAGGTTGTCTTAGTCATCTATTGCTGTTCTAACAGAAATACCACAAGTGGATGGCTTTAACAAAAAGAAGTTTATTCTCTCATATTCCAGTAGGCTTCAAGTCCAAATTCAGGGCGTCAGCTCCAGGGGAAGGCTTTCTCTGTCGCCTCTGGAGGAAGGTCTGTGTCATCAATCTTCCCTTGGTCTGGGAGCTTCTCTGCGCAGGAACCTCAGTTCCAAAGGACGCACTCTGCTCCCAGCACTGCTTTCTTGGTGGTAAGAGGTTCCCATGTGTCTCTTCTTGCTTCTGTCTTTTATATCTCAAAAGAGATTGGCTTAAGACACTATCTAATCTTGTAAACCTCATCCGTAGAACTGCCATAATCCATCTTACTAGATCATAGTGATAGAGTTTACAACACATAAGGAAATCACTTCAGATTATAAATCATACAATACCGGGAATCATGACCTAGCCAAGTGGATACACACATTTTTTGGGGAACACAATTCAGTCCATGACAGAGGTCATTTTAAGTCACTACCTGTCGACCCACGTCATAGTTTTTGGCAGCCGTGTAGCATTCCGTAGTGGGTTGTACCGTAGTTGATTTAATCCTCCAGTGGTCTTTCACCATTACAAGCAATGCTGCAGTGACTACCCTTGCACGTATGTAATGAGTGCTTCCTTAGAATGGCACTGCGTAAAGCCATGGCGAGTCTATTAGTGAACTTCAAGCCTATGCTCACCCCAGAACAGGAGCTTCCTGGTCCATAAGACGGTCAGGCAGAGGCAGGAGTGCTTGCGGGAGCCAAGCTTCCCCACTTGGGAACTATGCAGGAATTTGCAGCACTGAGTAGAGCCATAGAAAAGGGGGTGTCTTTCTGCCCAGTTGACCATTTCCTTGGCTCTGACCTGGGTACCTTGGATCTTGCACTCACCCTTCTTCATCCAGAGCTGCCCCTATGGTAAGATGAATCGGGTTGGGAGCTCACTATTGGGGGATCTCACACTGTTGACAACTGGGGTAGGGGGAGAAGTAGATCCTTAGAAGATAGAATCACCCCATTAAACAGACAAGACTGGGATACCCCCTGTTATGGATTGAATTGTGTCCCCCCAAAGTGTATGTCAACTTGGCTCGGCCACGATTCCCAGTATTATGTGGTGGTTGTCCGTTTTGTGATCTGACATATTTATCCTATGTGTTGTAAATTCTAACCTCTATGAGGAAAGATTAGAGGCAGTTATGTTAATGAGGGAGGTCGAAATCTACAGGATTAGGTTGTGTCTTGAGTCAATCTTTTTTGAGATACAAAAGAGAGAAGCGAGCAGAGAGGAGGGGGCCCTCATTACGACCAAGCAAGAAAAGCCAGGAGTGGAGCATGTCCTTTGCACTCGGGGTGCCTATGCTGAGAAGCTCCTAGACCAGGGGAAGATTGATGACAAGGACATTCCCCCAGAACCAGCAGAGAGAGAAAACCTTCCCCTGGAGCTGGCACCCTGAATTTGGACTTCTAGCCTCCTAAACTGAGAGAGTAAATTTCTGTTAAAGCCATCCACTTGTAGTATTTGTTATGGCAGCACTCAATACCTAAGACACTGCCTTTCTCCTCCACGATTGGCTGCAATTTGTAATTATTCCACACCAGCCTTTGTGGTCACGTTAGCCTGCCTTTTTTTATAGAAGATTCCTCTGGCGGGAGAGGGGCCTGGAACAATAAGGGACACAGCATGGTTTGCCATTCCCTCCACACCCCCTTCATCGCCCATCCCGTATGTGAGACCTGGCTTTCTCTCTCACAGCCTGCCTCAAGAATTTTAGAAAAATCTATGGGCTTTACAAAATGAATAAGCCACTTCTCTGCGCCTCAGTTTCCTTATCTTTAGAATGGAGATAAATATACCCAAGAGAGGCAGCCTTGTATGAGGAAAGAGCACAAGACTTAGACTCAGGCAGACCTTTAGTTGAGGTCCTAGGCCTGTTACTCCTTAGTGTGAAGTTCTCTAAGCTTTATTTTCTCATCTAAAAAATAGCTATAATAAAACTTACTTCCAAAGTGGTTAAGAGGATTAACAAAATGATAGAAAATGTATAAAGCGCTTAGTACAGTACCTGGCATAGAGTACCACCACCAGCATAGTGTCAAGCTGTGATCTTCACTTTTTCTGTCATCATGTCATAATCTGATTTTGGCCCCTGATTGCCTGGAAATACTCACGCCACCTAAGAGGGAACAGTGGTTTCCAAATACAGTTCAGTGTAAAGCCATTTGGGAAAAAAAGACTCCTACTCAAGGGCACAGTAGAATCCTTTGAACCAATTTATGCCTCTCAACATCTCAACCGAAAGTATTATACTGGAGTTTCTCCCACTGTGATGGATTGAATTGTATCCTCCCCCAAATATGTGTTGTAAATCCTAACCTCTATGCCTGTGGTTAGAATCCCATTTGGGAATGACTTGTCTATGTTATGTTAATGAGACAGGATTAGTGTAAGGTGTGTCTTGAGTCAATCTCTTTTGAGATATAAAAGAGATTAAACAATCCATTGATAGAAGCAGAGACATGCCAAGTCACATAAAAATCCCCCAGGAGCAGAAGCTGAAAGAGACAAGGACCTTTCTCCAGAACCGGCAGAGAGTGAAAGCCTTCCCCTGGAGCTGGCACCCTGAATTCAGACTTCTAAACAACTAAACTGTGAGAAAATAAATTTCTGTTTGTTAAAGTCACCCATTTATGGTATTTCTGTTATAGCAGCACTAGATAACGAAGACATCCACCCACCCGAGGCATTCTCTAGAAGCCATGGGTGCTTGCCTTGCAGGCAGGAGACCGACAGTGCCCTTTGGGGCCTCTCCTTGAAGAAACAAGAGTCTGCCTACAGAGAAAGTCCAGCTTCCTCTTTGGGTGCTGACAGAGAAGTTGCAGCACCAAGCATGTGGGGAGTATGTATTGTGTCATGTATTCATTACAGTAGCTGTGGGAGGCATTATGAACCTCATTTTATTAGTAAGTACAGAAGCTAGGCTAACAAAAGTGAAATAACTTACCCAAGTCCCACAGCCAGGAGAAGAGAATGGAAATATGTCAACATTGGACAAAGACCTATAGACCGGTGTTCATTGCAGCTTTATTCACAATGGCCAAAAGGTGGGGACAACCTAAATGTCCATCAATAGAATAATGAATAAACAAAATGTGGCATATATGTACAATGGAATACTACACAACTGTAAAGAGAAATGAAGTTCTGATGCGTGCCATGGTGTGGATGAACCGTGACAAACACTGTATGATCTCATTTATATGAAATAAGCAAATATATA